CCCCCCCCCATTTATTGTGTGAGTCCACCATCATAACATCTTGTTGATCTCAGATATTATGCACATTACAATCTGCAGACACAATAGTTTGGTCCAAATGACACATCAACACTTAAAAAAAATAATACTATGGAGGCACTTTTTCGACACCATCTGGATGTTTATACAAGAGATTTCGGACAGAATTTAAAGTGCAAACAAAACTCAACACAAAAACTTGAGCTTGCAAATTATTTATAATTGAGGAAAATTCAATATATATATATATATATATATATATATATATATATATATATCAGGACTCAAACTATTCTGTTTGGTTTTGGCATAGTTAACTTTTACTCAACAAGTCTTAAGTCTCCTGAAAAATAAAGTAGGTTTTGAACATTTCTCTATAACTGCAATTATTCCTTAATAAATACAAGTGTTAAAAAAAAAAGATTCTTTCAGATTTCAACACAGAACACCTTGTGAACACATTTGTTAACAGCATTAAGTTGTGTCTTTAAATCAGACTTTTGAATATTGCTGAATCTTAACTATTGCACAGCACCAACATTAAAGCAGAGCAGACCAAACATCAGGCAGAAATGTCTGCATTAAAATAAATCAAAACCTGTTGGAGTTTATAAAGGAACCACACCCTCAAAACAAGCTGAATTAGTGAATAGGTTTTCTGGCTGTGTAAATGTTCCTGCAAGAATTTGTTGTAAATAAACCACAAATAAGTTGCACCAAAATACACACTGGTTTGTCTGAAGTGCCATTCCTTTAAAACGAGTACAAGCAAACAGCAGCAGCCTGCAGGGAGGGTTATGAAGCTGCAGAGAGAACCCAATCAGACGTTTGATACGCACAGTGGCGGCGGGCACAGCCCCACCTAGTGTCAGAAGAAAGTATTACAAATAATGATTACAAAAAAATAAATAAAAAAACATATAAAATATATTTTAAGGTCATGTTTAATAATCTGATTCGTCTGTACATTTCTGTTTTAGTCTGTGTTCTTCTAATTAGTGTCTAGAGTGCCGTTTTGAGCTGTTTAGAGCCATGTGGGACAAAACCCGATCCTGCCCCTCCCTCTCACAGTCTAAGTGAACGGTGATTGTAAAAACTACACTGCGCATGCTCAGAGTATTTTTTTATTTAATGTGTGTGGCAAAAAAATAATGACCGTAGGGGCATAGTGCTCCCATCCCCACCATACGTCATCTCACATAATTCAGAATTGATTGGCTGTAAGTACTCACGTGTGCAGTGCTGCGAAACGTCACGTGTAGTTTGAAGAGGAGACGAGGAGAGCAGCATATAGCTAACATCACCAGCGATTAAAAGAAGTAAAAAAAACTGAAAGAAAATGAATGAAGTTGACCATTTACTGGAGCACACATTTGAGACACTTAGTCTCGGAGAGAAACTGGAGGTAAAGCGCCTCGGTGCCCACCATCCACCGGATTTCCAAATGGTCCAGACTGCGGGCAAAGTTAAACGTGGGTTTAACGCTGAGTGGTTTGCTAAAAAGAAATGGCTAACGGCGAGCATCCAGAAGAATTCCCTCTTTTGCTTTCCTTGCCTGCTTTTTGGTGAAGATCAAGGTACTTGGTCGAGGACAGGTTACAAGGACTTAAAGCATCTTTCGGAGAGGACAATGAAGCATGAGAGCAGCAACAGTCATTTGGAAAATGCCGTAAAATTGGGATTACTTGGAAGGGTGAATGTTGCAGCTCAGATTGACAGCGCCTACAGACGCGGCATTGATTCTCATAATAGGAAGGTGGAAGAAAACAGGTACGTGCTTGGTCGGATCATCACCTGTATTAAACTGTGTGGGAAATGTGAGACAGCACTGCGGGGCCACAACGAGTCGGCGGACTCTCTGAATCCAGGGATATTCAGGTCAATTTTCGAGACAATGTGTGAGGGCGATTCCAGGCTTCAACGGCACTACGAAGCTCAGCTTGTTTTCAAAGGGACATCAAGCACCATACAGAATGAACTCTTGGACTGCATGTATGATGTGTACAGGGAGGAAATAGCCAAGCAAGTGGACAACACATCATTTGTTGCCGTTCAGAGGCCGACGAGACAACCGATGTCTCCTGTAAATCGCAAATGGTGATTGTGCTGCGATACATTATGCCTGACCTCACAGTTACAGAGCGTTTTTTGGAGTTTGTGGAAGTAAAGGACAAAACTGGTGTAGGTCTCTCTAACAGCATCAAGGCTGTTCTGGAACCCCTGAAGCTGAAAGAAAAGCTAATCGCTCAGACCTATGACGGGGCGGCCGTCATGAGCGGTAACGTGCGCGGGGTACAGACGGTGATGAAGGAGACGTACCCAAACGCTCAGTTTGTTCACTGCTACGCCCACCAACTGAACCTGACCCTGCAGCAACTGTGTGCAGCAAGGATGAGCATCCTGAAGGTGTTTTTTGCAGATCTAACTGCTTTTTCCACTTTTTTTCTCCGGTGCTCCAAAACGTGTTGCAGCTCTTGCAGAGGCAACACAGAGACGCATCCCACGGCCACCGGCTGTGAGATGGAACTGTAAAAGCAGAACTGTGAACGCGGTTTGGGAGACCCGAGATGCACTACTTCAGTGTATGAAGCATATACGCGCACAACCAGGATGGGATGCGGGTCACCATAAGTGAGGCATACGGCCTGTCAAAGAAACTGCGGGACCGAGCATTTATGCAGCTCCTGGAGTTTTTTCGTTGCTTTATGCCAGAAGTGGATGTTCTATACAACACTCTGCAAAAACGAAGCATCGATGCACCTGGGATCAACAGGCGCGCTCTGCCGTTTCAAGGAAAATGTTCAGAAAATGAGGCAGAAAACTGATGCATTGGCCGCCACTGCTCATGATGGAACAGACGAGCCAGGCCGACGAGTCAGCAGCACAGCGCCGGTGATGAAGGAGGCTTGTGACACAGTCATCTCACAGGTGGAACAGAGGTTCTCACAGTGACCATTTGATCGCTGCAAAGCTTGTTGACAGCTCATTCTTCCCACAGCATGTCCTGTCATTTCCTACACCTGAGCTTGACTGCGCCGTGAAACTGTGGCCTGCGTTGGGAAACAAGGAGAAGTTGAAGTCTGAGCTGACCACGCTCTACCGCCACAGTGAGCTTCACACTGGAAACACTGCCCTGTCTCTGTTGAAATCCATTCACGAGAACAACTTGGAGGAAACGTTTGCTGAGACTGTTATTTTGGTCAAAATAATAGTGACAACTCCGATGACGACATCCGAGTCAGAGAGGAACTTTTCCACCCTCAAAAGGATAAAGACTTTCACTCGCAACACCATGGGACAGCCGCGACTTAACGCATTGGCCATGCTTTCAATTGAAAGCCAGTTGATCCAGCAACTACAGGACTTCATCCCCAAAGTGATAGACACATGCTTTTCTTTTCAAGTGAGCCTTCAGCTTTGGTAAGTTCATTTATGTCATATGTTGTTGATCTTCTGTGTTTTGCCTCTGCTGGATCGATTGATATTGTGACCTCGATGATGAGTGTCTGTGTTTTCCTTATATTTACAGTTTATGGTGTTTTAATGCTAAAGCATTACGGTTGTTGTTATTGTTAAGAATTACTTTGTGATGGTGACCTTTACTCCATGTATGAAGGTGCATTACTATGACATCCCCACGCTGTGTACGTAAATGTATGCGCTCAGTGTTGCTCCTGTGGTCTTCAGTATGTAATTTGACACTACCCCTCTCTCTCTCTCCTCCCCCCCTCTCTCTGTCCCCCCTCTCTCTCTCCTCCCTCTCTCTGTCCCCCCCCCCCCCCCCCCCTCTCTCTCTCTCCCGACCTCTTTCTGCCCCCCCAGTTTTGTACACCTAGAAACGCCACTGGATACGCAGTCCGCTTCTCCCTCATGTCACATTCATAGTTTATTTACCAGCGGAGAAAAAGCATGGAACTAGAATAAAAATGTGATTATGAATCCCTGCGCTAAAAGCAATGCACAAAACTTCTCTGCAGAGGGAGGAGGATCTTTTTTTTTTTGCTGCATAGCTATATATCAGAAAGCACAGAGGAGTGGGAGAGCAACATGTCATGTCTGCTGGTTCTGTTTCCTGCTGGGGGGGAGGGGGGAGGGGGGAGGAATCTGTTGGAAGCTCTACAAAAGAGGCAGCCTTTTAACAAGATGCACTTACTCTTCCCGATGTCAGCTTTGTGCATGGCCTCGGGAGTTGCGGGATGTTGATGAACGCTAACCTCTTATCAGTTGTATCTGCATTTAAACAGGTTTTCTAGCGAGGGCAGAGCTAAGCGGACCAATACGATTAAATATAGACCCATTTTATGTCTGTGCTTTCTACGGGTTCAACCAGAGTTCATGTTATTAGTATTACAGGCCTTTCAATCTCACACAGATCAGAGGGGGTATGTGAGGTATGCCACCATCAGCCAATTAATGCCCAGGAGTACAGCTGTGAGGTCAGCACTAAGCGCTTTTCAACCTCGTTCTTAGGTTCAGCTCTTTGGGAGAATTGTGTAACTCACACCCCAAACATTGCATAGTCACAAAAGTGACTTTGAACGGCTCGAGGCAAATAACAAAAACCTGCCGGGCATTACGGGAGAAATCCACAACAATCCCTCCCACATTATCGGAGAGGACACAAGGCAGGGGAGGCATTTGAGGCTTAGAATAACCTCGCTGCAGATAACATCTCAGGGACAATAGTTACTTTTCAAAGCGTTTAACTGGCACTTTACTCTAACTCAGGCTGACCTGAGACAAGCCTCCCGCTCAAGGACGCTGCAAGAGGACCCACAGCTGCTGGAGGGATTCATCTGATGTTTTAGTGGTGGGGCGGAGAAAAACTTCCTCTGAACTCACTGATATCCCAAATGACTCAGTAACATGCTGCGGCTTCAATAACCTGATCACTGTACATAAGGGCTGACTATGTGATTCTTGCTATTAAGTCCAGGTCTTTCTTTTCTCTGTCTTACTTAATATATGACAAGACATTTAAATAAGGTTGAGGCTTTAATTCCCTCTGTTTTCCCCGTGATAAACTGCAGCTAAAGTGCTACTAAAAAGGCACGTTTTTGTGTCCAAACATCACTGTACTTCTCCAACAGATATGGCAAAACAAAACATAAACAATAATGACATAATAATCAGCAAACACATAAAACAAACACAGCCATCAAAATGACAGAGCAGCTTCAAAATCAAACATGGCGCATTAAATGTGCTGACAGCTTAACTACTTCTATCACAGCCTTTACAATTAAAGTGTTAGTAGCTGAGGTAAAAGGTAACAGTGCCATCTAGTGGTCACTGAAGAAACAACAGGAACATCTTAAAACAAAGCAAAGCAGCAACTTAAAATCAAGTCTTTTAACACAATCTTTAAACAGATGAATCACAAATAATCCCTGAAAAAGTCCTACTGCAAAAGGAATGCTCAAAGCTTGATGGACATTAATTATTACTATGATGCATTAGTATATTTAGCTTGGTGTCCTTTGCATTTGTACAACAATGGTGGGCCTTCATGGTGCAGTCTCGGAGTCTTTTTTTTTTACAACCAAAACCAAGAAGAACCAAAGGCGACTAAAGTCAGCCCAGGTTTGGCACCACCATTGTGTCCAAAGTCAAAGGAATCAATGCATGCTTGTCATGTTTGATTTCCTACATGTTAAAGTTCCCCAGTCTGCTGGTGAACTTGTCCTTGTCGACGTTCTTGTTCCCGGGGAGATGTTTGAAGGTGCAGTCCTGCCTCGTGCAGCCCGAGGTCCTCCAGAAGAAACACTCCTTCTTGAACAGGCTACAACAGGAAAGAATATTTAAATACGGCTAATTCATGTTCAAGTTCATTGAGTAAAGGATGGAATGTTTTAATCTAAGTAATCATGAAGATCAGATGGTCTGCAAAGACAGGGGTTCTTTTCACCAATAAAACTATTGTAAAAAAATAAGAATATGAACTTAACAATACTTATTATTTTTGTACAAAGCTTATTTTGAGATGAAGAAATAACCTTTGAATGGCTGTGGTCATATTTAATAAAGGTTATCAGACTAAAATCCATCTTTAAAAGTAATTCATGGTGCTATTCAACAGCTGCTAGACCTTCAATGAGAAAACTCTGACTCCAGTAAACAGGTTGTTTCTGAAAGACTAACCACCAATTCAAATAGTGTGAAGCAGGATATTTCATTAGATGTAATCATTTCCAAGAGTAAAGACATCCTATTATCTATTTTTATTGAATAATTGGTGACTTTTGGATTTGACAATGCTCTGGAGTTATTGGAAATGTTTGGATTCAAAGATCCAAAGGTTTTATTGTCATATCCACAAAGCTGTAGAAATGGCAATGAAATTATTCTGACCTGAGCTCCTCCAACAATGCAACATATATAATCAAAATATTAAATAATAATAAGGATCCCATGAGGTCTGAAATAATCTTACGCAGCCACCAGTGGAATTTAAATTATGCAAATCGTACAAAACTAGAAATATCAGAGTAGCCACGCCTTTATCTGCAGCTGATCATAAAAACAAGCTTCAAGCAGAATATATAAACATAAAACATTTGACGACTTTTTATTACACTCGATTAGGTCAAAATCTAAAGTTGTAACCAAAGAGTGAAAGTTATCGACGTGAGGGAGAATAGCAGCGTGCTCTTACCCGGGGCGTGTGTAGGGGTCAGAGGCCGCTGATCTGGGAGCCCCGAGCCCAGTGAATCTGTTGGGATATCTCACAGAGAGCGGAGCGCCCTCTACCACCAGGCCCTGAAGACACACATTCAACACGGTTAGCCCAACACACACACAGCTTCAAAAAGACAATGACAAACGACTGAAAAGGTTGATGTCAGTTGATTTGTGTAATGAGAAAACAATGCTGGAGTTTTAGAGACACTGACTTTAAAAAAGAAAAAAGTTGGCAGTCAATGTTTTAATTACAGAAAATCGAAGCTTTTCTTTAGATGATTGTACAACCTGCTAAATGTTGCACCTTTATACATAAGAATAATGTAAAAAAAAACGATATACATGTAAATAAAAATATATAATTGTCTTTGGGAACCTGCAATTATATTTTAAAGTCATACATAACCATCAGATGATAGAAACATTTATATCACCACAAGGTGCTTAAAACTCTTACAATGGCACCAAAACACACTAAAATGAGTTTAGCATATGTTAAGAAACAGCTAGTGGTGTTGCTTCATTAAGACAGGCAAGAAACACTTGGCTCATGAGAGTGTACTCACAATCAACTTATTGCTGCCTATTTGATCTTGATCTCTGATCAATCCTATATCGCTCCTCCCTGCTAAAACAAGTCCTTCATTTTTTGGCTTGAGATTCAGGTCAATGTTCAATGTGATAAACACTTTGAAGGACACTTTGAAGGGCACTTTGACTGTCTGCAGCAGAAAGGTCATTCTACTCTCTAAATAAAGATTACGGTTTAAAACAAGAGATATCACAAAATGAGTCACGACATGAGCTTATTCTGCTGCTTCATCAGTGACACATCAGCTATATACCTCAATAAAGGATCAATCAAAAAGTGACATACATTGATACACTGGATAGCTCGATCGCAGTCTTCTTTTTTGGCGTAGTTCACAAAGGCACACTGCTGCTCCAGGAGCATCTTGATGCTGTACACCGTCCCCGCTCTGAGGGAGAGACGGGAGAGAGTGTGAGATCACGAGATGAAAACGTTATCATCGCTGCGGGGCTAAATGAAATGCTGAGGGAGACGGCGGGTCCCTACCGGCTGAAGAGCTCGTGCAGGGTGGAGTAGGTGACAGTCGGAGCTAAGGATCCCACCCAAACAGACATAAGATCTCTGTATACAAAACAGAAGAGAATAACCATTTGAAATGATGTTGCACTATGGGTCAGCAAAAAGATCCTGAAAACCCAAATCTAAAAATCAACAATATAAACATTTATAATAACTTAATAATATACATTTTAATAATGTAAAACGTATATCATTACACAAATACAATGTAAAAAAGGGCAGTAATCAAAAATATTAGTGTCAGGCATTATGAATCCTAATAATATTTAATTATTTAAAAAGCTCGTAGAAAAATTACTTTAATTGTGTTCTGACTTTTATTTTCTTTAAAAAAAAAATGGAGAAATTGTTGACAGCGAGGCACAAAATAAACACCAGAAAAGTACCGGTAAAACAGACACAGGGAAGAACACTAACCACGTTAACTTCCTTCAGCATGTTAACACGTTAATGATAAGCAGTCTTACGGTTTCATTGCATTCCTGGAATGAGGCGTAGGCGACTGAGAATTGGATCTGCTGTGGCCAAAAGCATCAGACTCCTTGACCTGTTGCATTCTGGGACGGCTTGCCTGGAGGACGGTCCAGTCGCCCTCATCATCGTCGTCTTCCTCCTGCACCACAGGGGGCTCCAAGTCCTCCCGACTGGCCCCGACATCTGAACAGAGACAACGGTGAGTCGATCAAATCATTTTTATCCCCAGGGTTAATTGGATTAAGTGAGTTTTAGAATAAAATTGAAATATTTATATTAACATAAAGAAGTAAAAATGTGCACATTATACTAAAATAAATGTGTAAACGTGTGTATAACTGTATATTCTGTAGTGTATTAAATACCAGAACAATGTAGTGACAGTTGTTTTCCAGCTGTGGGAAACATTTCCTGACGTTTACCTCCAGGACAGAGTTTACCGTCTTCCCTCCCGAACAGAGCTTCCACAGCTTCCTCCAATGTGCCGTGTGTCTTCAGCGCCTCGGAGCTCTGCGCCCAGCTGAAGCCCATCTCCTGAAGAATGGAGACACAAAAACAAGCTTTAAAAGCTCACCTATCATGCTATTTTTAGGCAATAGCATAGGTCTCAGATATATAAAAATATATAAAAAAACATGTCAAAACACGCTCAAAACACCAAACAGATCACCCATTCTAGCCATGCCTCATATCCCTCTATTTCACTTCCTGTTTCAAAAGTGCTGATTTGGGGTATAAAGCTTTACAAATTGATAAAAGAGGAGGGAGCTGAGCTCATGTGGGACCCAGCAGCTACCGTCTAAACTAAATTCTGCCGTGATGAAACGCCATATCATGGATTATCAAGGATTCTTTCTGAAACAGTTTGGAGCTCCAATGCTTTCTCTTTTGCCGGTTATACCACAAGGTGAGTTCCTTTTTATTTCCTGCTTCTTCACACACATGCTCTCCAGTACAGGTTAGCTCTGAGTGTTAGCGATGCTAATGTAAACACCGACCATATTACGTCCAAAACAGTCGGGCATTGTTTCTGATAGCAGCGTTTCTGATTGGGCCGTGGGTGTAAAGCCAGCCTACATTTCCGATATTATGTCACATCGAACGCAAATCTGGATCAGCTCCGTTGTACCCCCGTTTTTAGAGATTTGGGTACGGAGGAAAAGAGAGAGGGTTTTATTTTCTGATGCTGCGTGAGTTCCCTGACACACCGGGGACACATATGTATGTATAAAAGACATAAAAAAGTGCATTTTGCATGATAGGTCCCCATTAAAGCAGTGGATGGCTGATACATAACCACGTTTATTTTGAATTTATAACTAAAACGAGCAGAGAAAAGCATCTAAACTCAAACTGTATATTCATATTCAATCAACAGGGTTTATACAGCTTAAGGCAATTCAAGACTTTTCTAATGCTGCGCCAAAGTCAATTTAAAACAAACGTTAAAATGACCCCAATTGGAGAAATGATCACTTCATCAATTATCATTCCTATAATCCTTCTTTAAATATGTAATTATTTGTAATGACTCTTGAAAGATTGATTAAGGACATTTTAATCGTAATTGGGTTAGTTTGTTTTTTGTGGAATAATTCTGTAAGGTATGCAGGACCCAGATTCAGCGAGTCTCTTTTACTGTGGACATTTGACCATGTGAATTCTTGTAAACCTGAGCTTCCCCTACCATCAGGTGCAGCGTCTGCGCTCGCTTCAGCTCCTGCGTGGCTTCAGCGCTCGAACTTTCCAGATTCAACACCTCCTTATAGATCAGCGAGGCCTCGTAGTATCTCTGGAGGAGAAGTGGAGGAATCAGCTATGAGTAAGTGTTTCAAATCTAAATAAAATGCATAACTTCCAGTTGAACATCAGTTAAATAACCAACAGGAAGAGAAGCTTCACATTAGAAAGGGAATCATTGAGTGTATGTGGAAGCCGAGTGTTATCAGGGGGAACTGGCGCAGTATTCACCTTGAGCCCACACAGAGCTTTCCCTTTCCTAAATAAACCTTTTATCCAGTTTGGCTCCATGGAGAGAGCGAGGTCAGCATCCTGGAGAGCGTTTTCATACTGCTGCATTCTCTCAAAACACAGGGACCGATTACCAAATAACCTGAAACACAGAGAAATGTAATTAATGATTATTAACAATAACTGCTCCTGTGTGGAGAAGACAATTTAAAAGAGGTCCCCTATTATACTGTTTTTCATCAATATATTATAGGTCTCAGATATATACAAAACATGTCTCTGAAGTGTTTGAATCCAAACACCAAACAGATCATTACCCATAATCCCCTCTGTTTCAGCCCTGTTTCCAAAGTGCTGATTCTCTGTCTGTTACTTTAGATGAAAATAAGGAGCCCCTCCCCACGCCCCTCTGAGAGAGATTTGGTTAGAAAGAACACACTGGTGCTCTAGGAGGAGATTCAGGTGATAAGGGGGGGGGGGGGGGGGGGGGGGGGGTTACCTTGGTTGCTGATTGGCTAATGGTTACACAAGACAAAAAATCGTTATGACATCTTAAGTGGCCAAAATCTGATCAGCTCATTTTCAGACAGGTTTTTATAGAAATGGATCAGGACAAAAAGAGAGAGAATCTTTGTTCCTGAAACTTTCAGAGTCTCTTTCCACAGAAGGGACACACGTTGATGTAGAAGAGACATGAAGAAGTAGATTCTCCATAATAGGTGACCTTTAAGTTAAATATCTTACTTAAATTCCTTTGGGTTGTATTTAATGGCATCTGTAAAGCATTTCACGGCCATCTCGTACTGACTGGAGGCAGCCATACGATTTCCCATACCTGCAGGGAGAGAGCGGACATCTTTAGTGAGATGAGATGCTCCTTTAAAACAGGACCGCACAGATTAATACAATTAAGGATAACAAATTAAAATGATAAATAACTATAAAATAAGAAATGAATTAAAATGAACATATATACATATTTGGTCATGTGTACATATTATTTACACGTGTGTGTGAAAACAGTGTGTATTTTATAATTGGAAAGTCTCAATGTTAATTCTTACCAGCAAGCTCTCTGCTCCTTTTTGCTAACTCTTCTGCAATAGGATCCATTTGTTTCTGGTAAAGTTAAGAGTGTGCGCATTAGTCTCCAAGCACCACAGGAAACACTGATGACAACCAGGTAAGGGTACATTCATATCATTGTTTATGGATGTCAATTACAATTAGATTAAAAATAAATACAAAGAATTGAATAGGGGAAGATGAAGCACATTTTATACATGAATAGGAAATATAGGAACAGACACTCTTAACTGATTACTCTTAATAGCTATTACCATAAAGTTTAAAAATGTGTTTTCATGTGTAGGAAAATATCAGTTTGAGAGTCATGATTAAGATAAAGCCTTAAATAATTATAAATTCATTAAACATATATAAGTGTTCAGTGTTCCCACCTCTGTATTTGGTTCATATTTCTCCTCCTTCTCTTGAACTTCAGGTTGCGCCACAATTTTTGTTTGTTCCTCCTCAGACGGCTGGACTTCAGGTAATTCAGTGTTTTTCTTTTTTCTCTCTCTGGCAGGCCTCTTATTACACAATACCTCGGGCACCGAGTTCGTCGTAGAAGCGTGGGAATTATTTATACTCAAATCCTGCAAATCCTTCAAAAGATATTGAAACACAAGGTAGTGGTTTAAAGATGATCAAACACAAACAAACTACAATGTTAACAATACTGATGGCAATAGCTCAGATCAAACTATATCAGACTTTACAGATCAGGAGCTTTGGGGACAGAGCCTTCTCTGTGGCAGCCCCGAAGCTCTGGAACTCCCTCCCCCAAGACCCTCACCCTGTTCCAGTCCCGCCTCAATCAACTTCCTCATGACTGCCCTTTCTGTATATCTTATGTTTGTTTTTGCCTTTCCACCCTCCCCCGACTTTAAAGCATCTTTGAGTTAGAGAAAAGCGCTATATAAATATAATTTATTATTATTATCTATTAACTCATCCACTGCACAAACATGTCTAGTTCTGGATTGTCTTAAGGACTAATTTGCTTTGAATTCTGGGTAAATGTGGACTTTTTCAAAAGCAAAAAAACGTGACTGATAAGCATTCTTGAAGTAAAACCGTTTGCTTTCTGGAAACTTAACACAAAATCACCTTAAAATGACGGTGAGTTATTATTACGAAATAGGACTTTTCATAGTGTTGTCCTTCTTGAGGTTTATTTTCACCTTCGATTTATTCACCTGTGCCATCACCGGTCAGATATGACTTCTGAAGTACTTTTCTGCTAGTGCCAACGGTAATTTAAAAATGAATGTCCACAAACCATTTGCTTTTTTTCTTCTTTTGTAATCGTCTCCTCGAGATTTTCCTCTTCATTATTACAACTGTTCTCTTCATATCCAGCCGCCACAGTGCCATTGTGTGTTGCATCAGGTTCAGGAGATTCTCTTGCTTCTGCATTATTTTCATAAACAGGATTGTCTTTCGGATTTTCTGAGGAGTCTGACTTCCCTTGTTCTTCCTCCTGGAAACAATAACATCAAAGATATCAGGATCTGAAAATGCCTTAATGTCTGGATTCAGGGTATATGCAGGAACCCTGAAGTCACATGTAAGACCTTTTAAGACCTTTCCATACATTTTAAGAACTCATCGCCACTTGGAGTTTTAACCGGTTACCTTGGCGACACACTTTACCTCACATTTACTATATACAGTATTGATTGTCCTTCCTCCTTATCTTCCAACCATTTGGACGCAGACTTGCATTTCCCCATAACGATGCTGTTTAACAACCGGCGTAAACGGACCTTGGCGCTATCAAGCAGTGAGCGTGCGATGTCCTGTTCAGATGACGTCAAACCCAACGGGATGCCATAAATAAACTACACAGAATCACACTACACACCTACGCAATGATTACATTCAGGCAGACTGTAGAACACAACCTCTTTGGACCATTTATATACTTATTGAAAACAAGCTACAAAATGTAATACCTTGGAAAATGCCCGTTAATACTTTTTAATAGCCTTCATTTTCGCTAAATTGATTTATCAACTTTTAATACTTTCTAAGACCCCGCGGACCCCCTGGGGTTGAATTTCAAGAGATATAATGTAACTTGATTGTATTCACAGAAAAAAGAGAAGACTTACAGGTAAATTGTCTTTAACTGCATTTTCCTTTTCTAACAGTTTCTTTTGTTTTTTACGCTGAAAAAGAAAAGAGAAAAGTGGAAGCGTCAAAAAAGTAAATAAGAAGAAACATTGAAAATATTAAATCTGAATTAATTTGCAGACACTTACCAATTTCTTACGCTTGTTCCTCTCAGTTTTGTCCTTACGCTTTTCCTCATCTTCTATCAATTCCTTTGCATGTTTATCAGCCTCCTGGAAAAACATCAAGTTATGAGTCTTTATGTGGAGCATGAAGTCAGAAAATGTAAATGAAATTCACCTGAAGTGAAAGGACACGAGTCAGCCTGAAAGCTACATCAAGTCACAAACCAGGGACACATCATAAAAGGAAGCTTTTTAGTTTCGCTTCCAAAGAAAAGTCAAACAGAAGCGGAATACCTCTTCACTGAGTTGCTTAATTCGTGGATGTGGTTCTAAAGACCGGTGAGAAACAGTGCGTGTATAAAAGCTATCATCTTCATCATCGTCATCATCAGTATATATGATGTCATCGTCCAAATCTCCCTCAAACGTCCTTAAAAAATCTAAACCTGGGAGATTCAGACACAAACAAACAAAGTGTTAACAAGCAGCATATTAATTCAGAACAAAGAATATAACCGATCTTTAAAAAGTCTGATCTTGATAGAGCAACTAAGTCACAACATATAGTAGTACTTGTATGTAGTTGTATGAACTTCAGAACTTGGCCATTCCCTCTTCTCAGTCTGAAAGAGCTTGGTGAATAATGTCGTTAGACCAAACAGTCTACTAAAGATTGTATACTTTGGCTACACCCCCCCTCCCCCCTCAGAGCTTCTGTTATCAGCTGCGGTGGTTTTGGCGGTCTGTAGCTTTATGAAACTGATAATCTGACATTCATGCCCAGTTTCAGCAATAATTGGCCAGTTGTGTGAAAAAGAGAGCCTGGGGTTGGAACTTCTATTTCTTTCATTTTTGTATTGGTTACACAATTGTGTCACTTTTCATTTGAAATACGTTGACACTGTACTGCCTTCTAGTAAGGAGTGAAAATGTGCATCCGCAGATATTGCGTTGCTTTGTCTCTATAGCCTCGTCCCCATATGAACTTCAGATAATATCTGTACATCAGATCGGCACACTGTTCAGTTAGTCCGAACTCACTGGAAATACTCTCGGTACCAGTGAGATGTCACGCACTGAAGATGCCGTTATGCATTTATTACAGGCAGTAGGGAACAGTTAAACATTAAACAGGATACAATCTGCTGTTTACCGACAAAAATAAGCTAACCGTCCACACCCTTATATTTGTCTATATATACACACAGGATTTCTTGTTCTGCTGGTGACTCATGACACTATGTAGTCAATAAAAGTGGTGTCTATTGCCTAATGGAGATATTGTTGCATTACCTTGTGGGTCTAAAACAATGTTGACCAAATAAGTAAGACAAAAGGTTTAAGAAGACATATAACCTAATCACTTACGAGTATACTGTACGCAGCTTACATTACCTAACACTTTTTATTATTAGGTATTCAGATATTTGTTGTATCACAAAACTAGGTTGATACGGTTTGTCAATCCAGTAATACTGGGTTGAGTTTCATTTTCCAGTTCTCTTCTCAATCATCAGGTTGAAATCATCTGTAGTTGAGAAATTGCCTTACCTAATAAGCCAGAGGCGAAGACATCTAAAATTGAGTCTCGAGGATGGCGTCCATTGATGAAATCCACCATAGTTTCCTGAGATGAGGAAAAGATCAGACACTTATCCAAGCTTTAGACTCAATAGTGATCGTAGCCTCGCAAAAGTATAAACTAAACATTGCTGAAAGTAACGTATTGTGTAACCCTTGCTTTATTTTGCAGGGTGGGAAGTACATTTTTTTGCAGTTACCACAATAGCTGGTAGATAAAACTGATAAAGTAACCGAGGAATAACCCCCTTAAGAAAATCAGCTTTAACTACAATTTTACAGTTACTCAAATAAAAAGTCATTTTCCTAGCAAAATGTTGTCTAGTCAGTCACTGCTTCTCAAATGTGAAGACATGATGCTTCTTTTCTATCCATTACTGTACATTGACTAGGATTAGGTATGGTTGTTTAGTTACTTTAGTTTGACAGCAAAACAAGAACACATTATCAGTATTTATTTTACATTAAATAGAGCAAACACTGCTTTGAGTGACTGTTAGTAACATGCCCTACTTCTGTGCATATGTGTTCACAGTTTACTGCTTTAATACACAATGTAATCCCTGATACATTTACATTGTTTGTGACATTATTGTTAATATACAACAGAGCTATGATATTTTAAGTTATTCGTTGAGACTAAGCTTATGTATTTAGTAACATGTAATAAACTGTAGAGTTATCCTTTGTGAAGGCTGTACTAAAGTGCATGTTATCTGATTGTTGTGGTAAAAGGCTCTCAAAGGTGGCAGCTCATATTCAAATGACTGTTTGTGAAAGATAAGGTAACACTGTTGCCATGACACACTTAAAATTTGCAAAACCTGTTATGCCAAAATGATAGGAACAACAGAAGTTTCCAGGTGCCTAAATCATACTCACATGAGTGTGCATGAGTCTTGAGTTTTCTCGGATTCGAGATACAGGAGCACCTGAAATATAGAAAAGTGTTATAATCAAATACGTATAAAACACGTTTCTAAACATCATTGTTCACATTGTTACAGTCCATCGTCATAACGTAGCTAGCTAGCTAGTAAGCTAACTAAACACTTCACTGTTCTCAGTAAATGAAACTTAGCGAGGAATATGAAACAAATGACAATCACTACTTTAATGATACCTCTAACAATGTCTTTCTTTTTTGGCATGGTGATAGAGTGTGTCTTTGAAGTATTTTCCCGCGACTGTGTCTGAAGGTATTTCTCGTTGAAGGTAAAATGTACAGTTTTGGTTCTGACTGTTTTCTTCCCCTTTCCGCGTTTGATACGGGCACTTTTTCCCCTGCCTTTAACCTTAGAGGCTGCTACCAGCCTCCAACAGCCTACACCAATCAAATGGTGAGGATTTCAGTATGTTGTGGTTCAGGGCTGTGATTGGATGATTGACCTGTCAATCATGGTAAAGTAGGCGTCCTTTGAATGCAACGTGCTGCCTGCGAATCTGCCTGAGAGCAAAGCATCAAAGGACCTGTAAAAAGCAAAACAGACTGATATCATAAACCTTAGATTTGAATCAAGTTATCTTTCTTCTTACTATTAATATAAATATATATATTAATGTTTCTTAGTGTAAGCATTGTTGGATGAGCCTGTAACTTTGTATTGGCAACAACTACGCTGTAGCTGTTGTGTAAATTACTACAATCAGAGACGAAGAAACAAATCAAGCCAGGGAAGCATTTACATCTGCGATTTAATTAGCCTACAAACCTATTCCTATCTTTTTAAAGGTAGTATTAGGCCATTGACCAGCCTATCTAGACTAGCTGCAGATCTATCTGTAAACTGTTTTGCATTCAATGAACTGACTCCATCATATCAGTGAATGTGATGGTATTTTGTATCTAGTGATATCTTGCAGGGCACATACAGTGTTGCTGCAATACAAATACAAAAATATAGTTTTATATTTCTATCAACTGTATTTAATTTAAATCTAATTGGATAATAACATGTGTTTATGGTAATTGTATTTATTCTAAACTATTTGGGGAGTGTTACATCGCTAGAGTTAATGAATGACTCACAAATAAAGCTTTGCTTGTCTACTCTTAATGGGTGGATTAACTTGTTATGGAGGCCTGGATTAATGCGTTTTTTTTGCCATAAAAAAGTGATTTTAGGTGATACAAACAAATAACCTTTTAGATACGATGCTATTGAGAGAAACTAAACAAAATCAGCAACAAATATCCAGTGGCATTTTATATTATATTTGCCTTTCAACCAATTTCCATTCTTACCTTATTTGCCACGTTTTTTTCTTCTTCTTTAATGCCGTTCTTGAATTCAAATCAATTCTCGCGCCCTCTGTCCTCTTCCCGCGCGAGTTTCCGGGTTTTCGAGTTGTCCTCCACATTTCCTAGCAACGCTGGCTCCTTGGATACAAACAGGAGGGAGTGCGCTCACTGGAGGACTGACAACAACAACAATAACAACAACAACAACAACATGGAGCCTCGAGATGTAATTTGTCTCAGTTTGACCCCTTTTCTCCTCTGAAAGTGTTATTGTGCAGCATATTGTATCGCGGTTTGGTTCGCTTTAACCTGGTTGAATCTGGCTAGCGTTTACCCGACGCTGGCCGTTGGTAATAGCTTGCTAACTGCTAACCGCTTGGCTACGTTGTTAGCTAATGTATCAGCCCGCTAACAGACCTCTGAGACAACGTTACTCAGTTTAATCGACCTTGTCAGACAAAACATCGTGTTTGCATTCTTAGTAGCCAATAGTTGTAGCATGTAGGCTCATTTGCAAAGGGCTATTGTTAAGAAAAGGTTTGCAGATTATAGATACAGTAGTCATGTGTCTCTCCTTAAGCTAACAGCAACCTGTTGCGCGTAGCTAACTTTATTCGGAGCTTCTTAACTATCTGGTATATGATATTTGAGAGAATCTAGGTAAATATAATTGAAAAGGTAACACATTGGCATCTGTTACAATTGCTACAAAGGTGGGTTTTACCGAATTGACTTCCCTTTAGCAGCATTTGATAGCCATTTCAGACATCTGGTCTCTTTACTGACAAACCTGACAGTTTAAAGAGGCCAGATGATGGGCAGTATAACTGTTCACAACATCTCAGATAGATTAAGGGAATTGCTGTTGTTATCGGAGCCGTGTCAAATAATTGAAAAACACTTGAAGTATTTACGAACGAAAGCGTATTTAAGAAATCCAAATAGTTTATATTAAGTCAAATAATATACCTTTAAATCAGAGAATGGTGGGTTGTCTTTTTCCTGAGTTTAAAGGCTGCTGTATTAAATTAAATTGATGTAATTTTCTCCCGAGAATCTTTTCAATTTACACACAGGGTTACTCAGCTTTGTTAAATGGCACAAGAGGCCAGTTTGAGTTATTACTTTTTTGTGACTTGGTTTTACAGAGGGCTTCTGCTCGGTTGCCAGCAGATGAAGATACAATTCAGTCTGTTGGACAAACATCCATAAACCAGCCGGGAGCTCAAAGTCATGACCGGCAGAGGCAGCCCAGGCTGGACACGGATAGCTGGGAGCTTCAACAGCGATGGCAGCGCTCGTTTGAGCCAGGTATGTCTCGGTAAATACATATTTTCTGTCATATTAAATGTTGAATGGGATAAGGTGATGTAGAACAGACTGTGTTTCTGGAACTCTGTCTTTTCCCCCCAACTGTCTAAAAAAAATTGAGGCATCTACCAACAAATGTTCGGCACTACTTAAATAAGAATGAGAATTCAACACATTTGGATCTCATGGTAATAGGAAAGCTGAGGGAAATAATGATTTGTATGTAAGTTTGAAGGATGTATACTTTGGTTGTAAATGTGTTTATGATGCCTGTGAATAACATTCAGCATTTTCTGTATCATCAGAATTTCAGGACAGCAACCTGTCTCCATCCCTCTCCCTTTTGCCTGCACACTCTGGAGTGGAACAAAACTTCACTGAATATTCTTTATTCCAACAAAGTGACAGTGAATTTGCCCCTTTAAGGTAAACAACAATAGGTTTTGTGGACATAACTCTACAACATTGTATTTGAATGTTCAGTTATCTAATTGTATTTGTTTACTTTTTAAAGGGCGTTGCCCGACATCTCTATGGCATCAGAGAGGTTTCACGTTCCTCTCCAGGATCGCACCTCTCAAGCCTCTGAGCGCGGCTCCCTGTCCCAGTACCCTTTAGACCAGGCTACCAACCTGTCTGGAGAGGGAGTGAGCAGCTGCTGCTCTCTGTCCCAACACAGCTTATCTCCAGGAGACGAAGGCAGACGAGAGGAAAAAGTGCACCCACCAGCGATTGCAACCACTTACAGAAGGGGAGTACCATCCAGTGATGATTCAGATAGAAGAGAGGAAGACTCAGGGACTCAAACTGACCCTCCAGACATGCCAGTAAGAGAGGCTGCTCAATATGACATATCCTTTCTGAGTAAAGATGTTCCTGCCCAGCATCTTCTAGAGCTCCTTGAGAAAGATATTGGCATGCAAAGCAGTAGTAGTAGTAGTGCTCTTTCCTCTTCCTCTGAGACCTCTGTGAAGGTGGCTTTATCTTTTGCAGAAGATTCTAAAAGCATTCAAGTTTGCAAACCAGGCTTTGAGCAAAGCATGGGTAAAAGAGAAGGTCCTCCAGGTGAAGCTTCTCTTCCCCACCAGCAGTCCAAACAACCTGACAGAGGCTTATTCCCTGACCAATCACAGACATTGTCATCGGAGGAAAGCAACATAACCATGGGGCTCCGCAGCACTAAACCTGATGACAGCAGTGAAGAGTTACACAGAGAGTTGCTGTCTGAGGTAGAGAGGCGCAGCAGTCGAGAACATGAATTTAAAAACCAACAGCGTAAAAGTTCTACACCACCCGTCATATCTCTCACACCATTTCCCACAGGGGCTTCTGAAGTCAAGCCAAGTGCTATCAGAACTCATTTTGGTGGCCTGCAGTGGACAGGAGCGTTTTCAGCCGGCTTTGAGCGCGGCCACAGAGAACAAGACCTCTGGCTCTCTGGGAACCACACAGGGATTGATGGGTCCTACCTGGGTTTCATTCCACAATCTCAATCCACTCCAGGGGTGTTTAAAGCCCCATCCAAATCCAGTGTCAAGGCTAAATTAGGGCAACTCTCTGCCATAGAATCTAACATAGAGAACTCTTCTCAGTCAAACACAGGGATCTCTCCGCAGCCAGCTGTTCCTGCAACTGATCCCCCTGAAACAACAAATCAGAGCCGAGGGGAAACCACCTCTGCTAAAGTCCAGTCTCTCCCAAGTCTCAACTACATGCAGAAAGTAGACGCCTGGAGGGCAAATCAGAGTTCAGGCAAGGCAGCACTGTTTGATAGCTTGGCACTGCAAGGATTTTCCAGCGTCTCTCCTAAACAGAACGCTTACGAGGCAGTATCTGAACCCTTGAATCGCATCCTGAGTCAGCAGGCGGGGAGGTTACAGCCAATTGCTGCCCATCAGGAGGTCACACAGAGCTCCTCCAAGGCTCCCTCTGGCTCCACTTCTCCAAGGAGAGGGGAGGCCGTGGGCAGGGCTCCCAGAGACCAAGATAACTCTGCAACAAGAACTTCTGCATCACCCTTTGGCAGGTCTCAGTCCCACTCCTCTCTAAGCACCATTGTCATGTCGGTGCAGAAAGATCAGCAGAGTAAAAGACCTGCAGGTGAAGAGAACATTGAGACTCATCATCAGCCAAGCACCACAGTTCAGCCCCCGCCTCGCATCAGCCTCGGTCAGTTCAGCGACGTGTCTCTTGATCACGATTTGACACTCTCAAGTTCCCAAGAAAGTTACAACAGTGGAGTTAAATTAGCAACGTCCATCGGAACGTCTTCTGTTGTCAGTCTGGAGGTGGATAACTACGCTCCGTACTGGACTTCGAAAATGTCTACACCACCACCGATGGCAAGGCAACGAGAGATAGACATCGAACAACGAATTCCGGTGATTATAAAACTAAAAACAATCCTATATCAAGAAACATAGCCCAACATTTTTTTTGATCAAATTTCCCTAAATGTATGCATTTAAAAATATATATTTTAGAAGATTTTGCAGTTGATTTATTATGAATACAGTTGTATTTAGGCCAGTGGTTCTCAACTGGTGGGTCGCGGACCCGTTTCAAGTTGGTCGCAGATGTTTTTTTATCTTTTCTTTTTCTTGAAAAAAGTCAAACTTTTATTTTGAAGGCCCGATTTTCTAACGCTGTGCATGCAGTCGGCGTTGGACTGGAAGTACCGGAGACCCTAAACTAAATAAATAAAACTTCTGTCACGTAGTGATCATCTTCTCAATAAAATATCTTTGCTGATGTTTTTTCGAGTCTTCTGGCCAATCAGAATCAAGATTGTTGCCGGAAGTCCCCGGAGAATAACTTTGCGGTAGAACTA